GGACATGGAAAGTTTTTTTTTTTTTTTACTTCAAGTAGATTTTTCTGTTCTCAGAGCCCCAACTAAGTGAGCAATTTACATGGACAATCCAAAAGGACAGAAATAGTTGGCTATGATCTCTAAGAGCTAGACAAGTGTGTCAAAAATGGGTATGTTTTAGTGAATGGTTAAGAGTTTCTACATGAAGGTGACTCCAGGTGTAGGTATCAGACTTTGTTCCCTTAGCAGTCAGAGCTTACCTTCAGGTTTCCTTTTGTTGTAAATGCTCTTCCACAGATTGTGCATGCGAATGGTTTTTCACCAGTATGGGTCCGTTCATGAATCTGAAGAGCGCTGGCAGAGGAGAAGTTCTTACCACATGTAGTGCAGATGTGCTGTTTAGCTGGGCGGCAAAATTTAGGCCGTGGCACCAGCAGAGGGGCAACACCAGGTGATAAAGCTGGTGGGCCAATGAAATGGCCTGTGCTAATGGGACGTTCACCTAGCATTTCCACTTTTATGAGTGCTGGTGGTGCTCGGACAAAGGCAGTGGGAATGCTGCTACGACCTGAAAGAGACAATACATCCTAGGTTATCATCATGGCAGTCAGCATTTTGGAAGAAAAGATGCCAGCCTGGATTTAACTCACCCGTGTTCAAGTTATATGCCTGCAACACCCAACACACAGAAGTTAGGACTCAAACTCCCATCAGTGTTACTGGCATATTGAAGAGAAGCCTTGTCTCATTGGCCAGCAAGAGTTTAGGAACTAAGATCTTGACATGTAATGATTTGGACAAATCTAGACTTGCAATACACAGCATAGAACTGAAGTTCCCACCCCATGGAACACTCTCTCTTAGTTTTAATATTGTATACTAGGGCTAAACTGACCCAACTTTGCTCAGTGTCTTATCAGCGCTGTAACGATCATTTTAGGACAGCAATATGCAGAGTTCATTCACTGGAGTCGGGCACGTACTAAGCACGCAGCTCCCACTGAAGTAAGTGGAAGGCTAGCACACTCCATGCACAGCAGAAGGCAGCCCCATGCAAAGGTATGTGCATGCATGTGGCAATTTCAAGATCGGGCCCAAAAAGCAAGAGGGGTATTTGTTATGATACCCGGAGCAATAAGAACATCCTACTTCTTCCAGGAATCAGAAATAAAGCTCCATGTTCCCACTGGTCTACTGGGTATGGGGCAGTGCAGCTACCAGGAACAACTCACCATACTCTCCATTTGCAAAGTGTAATCCAGGCTCTTCTTTGATGACTTTTCGACCAATATTGCCATAAGTTAGGTCCAAAGCACCAGCCCCTTCTATTTCAGGAACGTTGCTTTCAGGACCTTCAGCTTTATTTCCCACGGCAGCATCTTCTTGAGCATTGAAGCCTGGCGACTTTGACCGAATGCTTTCAGCTTGGCTGTTGGCTGGAGACAGCGCCTGGAACGAAGCCGATTCCGAGGCAGCAGGACTCCTGCCATTTTGATAATCTGGATCTCCTGTCACAGAAGAAGAATCGTTCGTCATGCCATCACTTTCTGCCGAGCCATTGTCGCTAGACTTCTGGCTGCTTTGCCGTTGTAGGGTCAAAGCAGAGTTTACGATTTTCATCTGGTTCTCCAACGCAGCGATACCAGAAAACACTGTGGCTGGAGATTCTGACTGTGTATCATAAGGAGTGGGTGGCTTTGAAGAGCTGCTGGGACCATCCTGGGAGTCTAGGTCTTCTTCTATTTCTATGCTTTCCATACTCTCATCTGGACGACTGACATCTCCATTCTTTTCAACCTGCGTAGGATCCACATCAGTATTATCACAAGCATTTTCCGGCATGGGCGTATTGGGGATTTGTCCCCCCATATGCATGCGAATGTGCTGCTGCAGTACAACAGCATTTGTAAACTTCTTCTGGCAGATAGGACAAGAATGCTGCATCTTCAGTGGGGTGTTTGCTCGGTGGACACCATAGTGAGTCTTAAGGTTACCTTTTGTTGAAAAGGCACGGCCACAGATCTTGCACTTAAACGGGCGCTCGCCAGTGTGGGTACGGTAATGCATTTTGAGCGAGCTCTGACAGCTCAGCACCCTGTGACAAATCAGGCACTCGTTGGGGTCAGCAGCAGACTTGTCAATGTTCTCAACCAGCTGCTGGAGCTTGGACGTTTCTGAACCTTGCTCACTTGCCCCACTTCCACGGAAGACACTCGCACTGCAGCTAGCTTGCGGCGAGCTCAAGCTCTGCTCGGTTCCCGACTCGTGACTGACAGCACCCGATGAGGAAGAGCCACCTTCACTTTCCGGAGAGGGTCTCGGCTGCATGTCACTCGACAGGGTGCTGGGGAGAGAATCTTTGATGCCTGCTAGGCTGGAGATATTCTGCGGCAAGCCGGCACCCACAGAGCTCGGCAGCGTTGTCAGAACTGGTTTGCTATCCACAATTAGGTTGGAC